ATTCCCCTTTTTTTGTGCCAAATCTGGGTTTTACATGATTTGTGGAGCTCCCTCTGGTGTTATGATCATGGTATTCCTTGACCTTTGGGAAGAATTTTGACATGTACATGGGTACCATAGAGGTGTAGTGGATCTTGTAGACCAGGCCCATTGCAAGTAGCTGTACTCTGTCGTCTACTCTAAGCCATCCTAGGTTGTCAAAGTGGGCAGAGGTGAGGTGGGTTCTAGATGAAAGGTCAAGCAGTAGTCTGACCAGTTTATTTTGCGATGTTTGAAGTTTTATTTTTAGCGCCTTGGAGGTGCTATGGTACCATGACGTGCAAGCATAGTCATAGTACCCTTGAATGAGTGCTCCTGCCAGAGTTTTCAGGGTGTTTTTGTTTACCAGAGAGGAGATCCGGTATAGGAATCTAGTTCTTTGATTGACTTTTTTTATTACATTGGATGCCATTTTGTCACAGGAGAGGTTTGCCTCAAGAATAGATCCTAGGTATGTAATTTCCTTCTTACTTGTGACAATAATGTCACCCACTGCAACTGAGAAGTCGTCGGATTTGCTGAGATTATGTTTCGAACCGAAGAGAATGGACTCTGTTTTACCCAGGTGTAATGATAATTTATTATCGGCGAGCCAGGTGCAGATTCTGCCGAGCTCGGAGCTGAGGGTTTTTTCAACCTGCAATCTGCTCCTGTCAGAGACCAGCAGGGCTGAGTCGTCCGCGAACAGGAACAAGTTGCAGTCACATGCTGTCATGGACGGTAGGTTTTCCTACAAAGAGAAGTAGTTAACTCAGCCTCCATTGATTTTCACGCAAATTAGCGTGTTAATAAAATAAGCTATCATGGCTTATACTTGCATATCTAAACAGAATCATGAAAGCCTGTTGGTAGAGTCAGGCACACAAGTTTGTTTGAGTGTGTGCGCTGGTGTCTGAACGCTCACTGCTAGCTATGTAGCTAACTGTCCCTGCTATTAGGCTACTAGCTTGCATTGTTATGGATCTAAAGGTAGCAAAAGCTAACTTTCATAGCACAGCTTTTCTTTATTTCTCACTTAACACAATAAAGAAACAGACCATATAGTACAGCACAAACAACACAAATGATCAATACTTACATATATTTTCACTTGTTTGAAATGATTGAAATGCTGGTTCTTCTGGGGGTGTTCTATCCACGCTCAGCTACCGCACCGCAGCTGCACTGTACAATCGCTGGAGGACTGGGCTGTCACTCAAAAACTGAGTAGCCAATGGGGACACACCCCTGAAAGTCCCGCCTACCTGGGACGTTTGTGTCAGAATTGAAAACAAAAAATGAGGGAGCGCAAACGAGAGAGCTGCAGCGAGAGAAAAAGTCTGATAATTGAGAAAGAAGCAAAGAGAACTGCAAACTAAAAGATATGTTAAAACAAAGAAAAAGACTGATAGTTTACATGATTACACAAATGATTTGTTGCAAATTCTAGTTTTATTTTTGAAATTAAATGTATTTTGCTTGACTCAGTTTTTTTTTCTCTTAAACTCTTAGTTTTGCTTGATTCTGAGAAAGTGTTGCTTTATCTTTATGAAACAAAACTAATCCCATACAATAAGGTGATGCAAATAATTCATCAAAAAGAATACAGTAATATAATATCAATCTGCAATGGGCCATTCCTCATAATCAATACTTTTTCGGAATTTTGATGGTAATACCTCTGTACTTTTGCCCTATTCTGATGTGCCTTAGCTTTATTTCTTGGTTTATTCTTATTTTTACTAGAGTACGGCAATGAATTAAGGTCACATGTGTCATAAAGGTAGGTGAAGTCCATTCATCCATTCTCTACAGCTGCTTATTCAAGTTCCCAGGGGCCCTCAAACCTCTCCGAGCATGCCTTTTGCAGAAGCTAAAGAAACACTCCACACTTGAGCGGGCTAATTCACATATTCATCTCTGGACTATTCAGCTTTACCTGAGAGCTACACGTCTCTTTTACTGTGAAGGGAACTAAGGTGAGAATAAAGCAGCTGCTGACAGAGAGTGCCGAGGTCATGATTCACACCCGAACAAGAAGTCTTTCCTTCAGCAAAGGCACTTTAAAAGTAGGATCAGCCTCTCCTGCCTTCCTGATAGCAGCTGCTATGGAAAAAGTACAGGCTGCAGCAGCTGAACACTAACTCTGGATTTGTATCTAGAGCTGCATCTATTGATTATTTCCATGAATTAACCTGGACATTATCTCCACGATTCATTGTTTTATCTCTGGTTCCTGGAGCCCTGAATGTGTCATGTTTTAATGTCTTGTTTTATCCAACTAAGAGTACACAAGCTACAGTTTAACATTTTAAAAGACTGAGAGAATATTGTACATGCTTAAAAATTACTCAGAAACTATTTTATAAATCAAAACACAAGAAAACAATTAACATTTTATAATATGAAAATACAACATAAAATAATTTGAAATGTATTTAAGATATTAATTAAATGAATATAATGTAGCTCTTTAAATGTAATCTTAATAGAAGGCACTTGCATTCAAATGAATACCTACAAACTGCAACTAAAGGAGTCGACTTATCAATTAGTCATTAGATACAAAGTTAAATCATCACAACAATTTGATAAACAAATTTGTGTCTCTTATATTGTCATTTCTTTTGCAATTGTTGTAGATCTGACTAAATACACTTTTGAATACAGAGCTTAGAATAGCATTTTTACTCTGTAGTATTGTAACTTTTACACTTAAAAGTCTCAATGTTTCTTCCACCAGTCCCTTAAATAGTTCAGACTAAATATCTTTTGAGTCTGAGGCAAAAGTATTACTTTGGTAGTTCTACTTACCAAACTTATATTCCCTATACATAAAACTATATTTTATAGACTCAAGAACACATTCATAAATCAAAAAATAAATATATGAAGGGTAGCCCAGAGCCTTATAATAGAAGAGTTACGACATCTCCGTTCACTCCAATGGACCAGTTTTTTTACAGCAATGGCGGATCGCGGAGCCGTCAATAGTTCCCCGGAAGTTAGCTTGCCGCTGACTTCCGGGGGACTATTGACTCGAGAGGCTCCACGATCTGTGACTAGCAGCGCAGTGGAGTTGCAGCGTTCGTGATGGACTTTTAAAGGTAAGAAGACGTTTAAAGATTTATATTGCGGATATTATCAACACATCTGAGTCAAATGAACATGTGTATTAAAGGATGTTAGTGGATTATCCCATAATCTACTGATTTAGGGAACGTTTACAGATAACATATTAGGCTAGGATACCGGATAAAGTTAGCAACACACGTTAACCTATTAATCCTTAATCCTTTCTCCTAATGTTATTTCATCCAACGTTGTAGAATTAGAGAAAAAGGGCTTCTAAACGTGATTTTTTTTTGTGGGGTGGAGGAATATAATATTAGTTAAATATAACATTGGGGCACGTGTGATTGTAATGAGTGGAGGTGGAGAAATTACGATCTCCATTTTGGAGTAGGCCTACAAGCTAGTATAATAAAGTTAACGTTACACAATAATAAGGAAGAGAGCTATTTGTGTGATACATCGCTATTGATATTAATTTAGAGTGCATATTTGAGACTTCCAAACAGTAAACAAAAACGTAATTTATGGGTGAGTGTTTTTAGTGTATTCTGTTGATTATTACCTGTCTGTATTATGTTGCAGCTCAGCTGATTTTGAAATGATGGCAAAGGGAGAGGGACCTAAGTGATAGTGAAAACACAAGGTAAGTTTAATACTACTGTTGTATATAAGCAAGCATACTAAACATGTATTCTATCACTGTATTATATAAGTAATCTTGTTAGTGTATATTAGTAACCTACTGTATAGCAGGTGGAGGGGCAGTGATGTTACAGGTGGAGGAGCAGGGATGTTGGCTGGGTGCTGGCAGGTGGAGGAGCAGTGGTGCTGGCAGGTGGAGGGGCAATGGTTAGTCCAAATATTTCCATTGCAACGACTAATGGGTTTGATAGCAGCTGTGGATTTTTTTGGGGGTTGCTGGATGTTGAATCTTGGCTGCTGTTGTTCCTCTTCACCTTTTCGGATTGGCTCTTGCTTCCAAGATGGCCATCTTTTCAGGGTTTTTTTTTCCTGTCATTTCAGATTAGTTTTGCCTCGATTCTCAGCCTCAGCCGTATGAATCTTCTAATGATTTTGTCTTGTACTCCACAGCATGACGGAAGCCTGCTGGAGAGTGCCTGAGGTTCTTTCTCCAAGACACCCACTGCGTTGGGGAACTGCATGAGGGAGGAACCAGTCTTGGTCCTAAATAGTTCCTCAATTTGGTGAATGAAATCAAAGGCTTCTTGGGAGGGACGACAAAGAGCACCTGCCTTGAAGTCTTTTAAGTTCACTAAAATGCTGTTTTCACCAGAAGGACTCTCATCATTGTGCTCTGTTGCAATTTTGCATTTTTCACTGATGCTGGCAAACTTGATGACTTTGTGGACGATGTAGCCTGCAAGATGGAAGAGAATACATTTCTCAGTTTTTGTGAGGTGAGGTGCTGCTCTGTTCACTGCCATCTACGGTTCCACTCTGACTGATGGAGTGATATTTTGCTCCACTGTGTCCAGGAAGTCTGCCAAAAAGCTACTGTGGTCTTCCTGATAGCTCCTAGAGCTGATGGTGGTGAGGAACTGCCCCACAGATATGATTCTCAGTGCATGATGGAATTCCACTGGAGTTGGGACAGGATTTTTAGACCTCACACAGCTGAAGGTATTTTCAAGGCAGTCTTGTGTGAACCTTGACGTTAACACAAACCTGTGTCCTCGTGTTAGCATAGCCTCCTGTATGGCCAAAATTGATGTTGTTGCCATTATCACCCCTGTTTGAACAGGCTTCCAACCTCCCTTTTGACCAATCTTCATCCCACGAAACAGATAGACGATGTTCTGGAGGAAGGTGATGGCCTTTTGGTACTCCATCTTGAGCCTGCTCAGGGCTGTAATTGGATGGCGAGATGACATGAGATCAAACCAACAATCAACCTGCTCCAGGAACCACGCTGTCGTCAGGTAGGACAGAGGGCGGTTTTCTTGCTGCACTGAATACATTTAGAGCAAGACCAACCTTCATCTTATCAAAGTGACTTGGCTCGATGGCTCCCGCTGAAAGATGGGGAGCTATTTTTAATGCCATCCCTTCTTGAAAGGTCAATAAGTCCTTAATGGGGACCACTGAAACCTCGTTAGAGGGGAGGTTCTCTCTGTTTACAACATCCTCAGGAATTATGAAGACCTGCCCACGGACAAGGGCACTTTTTAGATTTTTTACCAGACGTGGGACATCGGGCATGAAATAAAGCTGCCTGTCTGGTGTTGCTGGATGTGGCACCAATGTTTTATTTTGGTCGACCCCAAAGGATTTCCACATGGCTCAGTTAGGGCTACCCATGTCTGTGGTGACATCAAGCACATGTAGCCCTATGGATGCTGCCCTCTGTATTACCTCAATAATGATTGGCCTGTACTCTGCTCCATTGGTAGATTTGCCAGTGTAATGATATGCCACTACTTGCTTCCACCGTGTTGTGTTTCCAGCCAACATAAACACACAAGCATGTGTTGCCACTCCTGTGTGACCTGGTAAAGTCACATCACCGTACAGTTTGCCTGTTGCCATGTCCAACTCCACACTTGGTGTGATTGCCATTTCATCCAAGGTCAACACACACTCCCTTTCAAGGTCAGTCAATCTATCAGCCTTCAATTTTAGGTAATCAAAGACCTCTGTCAACACACCAGGCTCAAACTTAACACATTGCATTCTTCTTTGCAGTGTTCTTATTCCTGGCAGGGGAATCTGCAATTCCTGCAGAGTTTTGTAACCGGTTGGTCCGGCAGCAAAGCGAATTTTTAAAGTCTTCTTAATTGTCTCATTGCTCCATTTCATCCCCTTTGTGGTAAGTCTGCCCAATGCCTTAAGTTGGTCTTTTGAAAAAGTTTTCTTAAATTTGTTGTCCCTAATTTTCATTGTTTTCTTGAGAGCTGCATTTTCCTTCCTTATTTTTCTTAGTGCAGCCTTTGCTTTTTTGGTGATTCCTTCTTGTCTCTTTAATTTTTTTAACAGATCTGTTTGACTGGCTGCTGGTTCCCTGGTATGCTGACTGGCTGCTGGTTCCCTGGTATGCTGACTGGCTGCTGGTTCCCTGGTATGCTGACTGGCTGCTGGTTCCCTGGTATGCTGACTGGCTGCTGGCTGACTGGGTGGTGTCCGCTCTCCCTGTCTCTCCTCACTAGCCATGTCCTGTCTTTCTTCACCCTCACTTTCCCTTCTCTCAGTCTCCTCATCCCTTCTTCCCTCAATCTTTGAGACTAATGTAAGTAGAAGACATGGCACTGTTAATTTTCGAACATTCAAAATATTATACCACTTAAAAATAAGAAATATTACTTTTATTATTAAGAGTTCAGACTTATTATACCTGTGTCACCTTTCACACTATAGCTGTGATCATCAGCTATGGGCTCTGTATTTACAGGTCCCGGGGTGCATCGTGGTGCAGGGGCCCTCCTCTTTTTGACCACAGGGCGATGCACAAAGATGGTGGGAATAGCATCTGCTCTCAGCCTAGTCTTGCCCTTTTTGGTCTTGACAAACTGGTCTGCATCAAAATGTGCCTGCAGAGTGACAGAGTCACACACACACACACACACACACAACAACTCAGTTTTGTCTGCCCACATACATATCCCATAGTGGTTGAATGCACAGTATTGGGAAACACTTCATACTTACTGGACATGTATACACTCATTACATACTGTACGTAAAATACGACCAAGAATGTGAGACAACTTTATACAAATTCATATCACATCCATTACTGATGCCATTTGTCATACTTTGTTAAACTCACAAATAATAAAGTTCCATAACTTCAGTTGGAAACAAAGACCACACCTTATCTCCCCAAGGCAATTTCCCATCCAATAGGTGTGCTATATAGGTGTGTATAACCCTTTCTCCTGTCTGTTTCTCCCTCTTTCAGCACAAGAACCAGAGGGGGATTCAATAGAGCCTGAATACTTGCACTGAGACCCTCATCCTGCACCCTGAGTCTCAACTCTCAGAGTTTTTCAAGCCTTTCCCTGTTATGTGTATTAAACCAAACATTAAGCTTCCCAATGGTGTGGTCTTCGTTTTGTGAAAAAGTGCAAATGCAGTGTTTGAATATGATTACCTCACATATTTTGTTGCGGCTGTCTGTTTCGATTGTTAAATTGCTCCTGCTGACTTGAGCTAGCCATTTTTTCCTCCTCTCTGTGTCAGTGGGGAAGCCGTACATTCTGATTCTTACTCCTTTTTCGGAACGATTGGAGCATCCCCAGGCAGCACAGCAAACCATGGTGGAGACTATATGCCAGGACAACACGGAGGAAAAGGCACAGACAAACTGCATGACATGCTATTCAATGTTTATTGAATTCCATGTATTTACAATGGATGTTCCTAAAACAACACATTTAACGTCATAATCATGCTGTTGATAGTCACCTGTTGGTCTCCTGTCCTTTCTGAAAGTCATAAAGATTACATTAGTCATTTAGATTACTTATGTCCTCAAGTACCATGGGATTACTGAAACCACCATGAATTAAAAAAAATGGTAGAAATTAATCTAATCTAAATTTTGAAGCATTCCTTGCCATCCCCTCCCTCTAAATATATCAATAAACATTAGGAAGTGATGCTCCTGACTACCATACCTGTTTAAGAAGATAATATTTATTTTAAATCATTCAAAGCAATACACAACAGCAACAGGCTCTTTAACCAAGGCAACGTTAGCCTAACATGTATATGTTAACAAGTAAACTAGCTGTTCACACTATTCCTAATATTACCCATAAATATAAGCAGATTCTATTTTATTTTTAAAACATATTGATGTAAATACATACACATATCGGTATGTCGTATAAATATTGCAAATCAAAACCTTTATTCACTACTTATTACCAAAAATCGTAGTTCTATCTCCGGTAATCATGCATACAAATGTCCCGCCACGAACTTCCGGGGAACTATTGATTCTCCCTGAACCACGTGACGATCAAGCATTTTGGACTTCCGTTGTCATAACTCTCTCTCGCGCTGGTTCAGACCTTTATATATACAGTCTATGGTTCAGACCTTTATATATACAGTCCAGTGGCGACTGGTCATTAGTGTCAGCAGAAAGTATTACAAATAATGATTACAAAAAATGCAAAAAAAAAATCAAAAAAAAATATAAAATATATTTTAAGATCGTGTTTAATCATCTGATTCATCTGTACATTGCTGTTTTAGTCTGTGTTCTTCTAATTAGTGTCTACAGTGTGTGCCTATTGAGCCGTTTTGAGCCATGTGGGACAAAACCTGATCATGCCCCTCCCTCTCACTGTCTAAGTGAACGGTGACTGTAAAAACTACCCTGCGCATGCTCAGAGTATTTTCCTATATAGGCCCAATCCCAAACCGCCCCCTACACCCTACCCCTACACACTACCCCTCCGTTTGCGCGTTCGCGCGGAGGGTCCGCCACATTAAGTGCTGTTCCAAACCAACGAGTGTGGAGCGGTGTGGAGGGGGAGTGGGCTATCAAGCCCTCAAACAGCGAGTCTGCAGCGGTGCTGACTTGAGACCGGTCTCTACCTGACCGGAGTCACGCTGTGTGTGTCCGTCAGGAAACACGCTGTTAAAAAGTAGTTCCAGCAAACATCCACTGATACCCCTTTCACACCAACGGTGTTTCAGGGCCGGTTCGGTGCTGGTGCTTGAAAAGCACCGGGTTTTCCTGTTCACACCGCAGCGGAGCAGCGTCATAGCTCCGGAATCCGGTTCGTTTCGAGCACCAAAAAGTTGTCCGTCTAGAAGCAAGAACCGCATACGTCACGCTTACGTCGGAGGGGGGCGAGATTAACCTGAGCTAACACTTAAGGCGAGTACGGCAAATAAAAGTTGTAACAAGCAGTAGTGCTGAGCAAAGTGACTAGAACGCAACCACACACTTGTTAAAAAAACACACTTTATAAAGTCAGGCAACACTAACCAGGCTTCGTGTGATTCTGTTTATTTGTACCTTACTTTGACCATCCGTTCGCTGTTATTGATCATTGTGGAGAGCAGGCAGACGTTTTGTTTGTTATTATAGCAGCTATCGGATGGAATCAATACATGGGCTGCACAGGTTGTCATGTCCGACTATCACAAGTAGAATCATAATGAAAAATACGTCGGTAAAAAGTGCCTGTAGAAAACTGCTTAGCAAGTAGTCAGTTTAGCTTCGGTTGCTATGCTAACATCACCCATGTTATACCAGAGAAACTTTCATAACAGCGTTGTGATGCCAAACAGCGTAAATTCAGACTGACACCAAACAGCGTCAATTCAGACTGACACACATTCACTTAAGGGGAACTGGGGATATGTATCAGCTGCTTGTGTGACAGTCAGACAGTGAATACTTTAGAGCCGTGTGAGCTAACCCGGAGCTAACGGGAGAATACACTCGTGGAAGAGCAGCCGGCCAGCACTGCAGCGGTCGGTAAATGCCGCTGAAACACATTAATAAACAATGAACCACGGCACTCTGGAGAAAAGTATAAGGTTGGAGAAGTCGTTATTTAATTTAATCTGGCTTCGTATGATTAAAAGCAACGCAGTCCCCGGCCCGTTGTTATTGTGAGGTGAGCTCCGGCGTTGGGGAGAAACTCAGCGACGTAAACTGTGACGTCATGACGCAGCAGCGGCAGCACCAGTCGGGCTCTGAGCGGTGTGAAAAGAGCCGGCGCTAAACCGAAGAACCAGTTCTGAACCAGAAAAGCTCTAGCACGGAGCTTGAACCGGAGTTGCGTTGGTGTGAAAGGGGCATGATAAACTGCGATGTTAACAACCTCATGATAACCTCATATTTTTTTAACTTAGGATCGTACCTGTGGTTAGTCTAGAAAAAGGTAAATGTGTGCATTTTATTATAAAGTTGTGTATATTTACAGACTGTTGCAAAAACTAAGAACATCAGGTTTAAAACTAAAAGAGCTTTACAAAAAAGTAACACAATTAAAGATGTTTGGAGTTTTATTTGAGTTATTAATTTACATTTTTTGTCTAAGAGATGCTGATTTGAAACCGTTGTTACATACAGTTACGGCATTTCCTGTTTCTGATTTATGATAAGACTTTTGAAACTACAAGAAGATAAGGAGGACTTTTACAAAAAAGTAATAGACATTTTTGTCCAGAAGGATAGACAAATGGACTTCATCTTCAAGTCAAGGTAAGACCGCAATTTTATTGAAAATGGGATCTTACTAAGAGAGAACAATTCAATATTTAAATGATAAAATTACATTTTTTGGGTATCCTTTTGTTTAACTGTCTGTTTAAAATTAATCGAAGCATCAGACAAAAAAAGCTTTTGAAAATAATATTATATTTTGGTTTAGGTCAAAATATAATATTTGTAAACCTGAAGAGTCAGTGCCTCACCAGCCATGAACCTCACTGCACGTCACTGCAGAAGCTTATATATAGACATCTACGTTTTTTGTGCCCCACCACTTTTGTACATATAAAAACGCCACTGATACAGTCTATGGTTCAGACTAAATATATTTTGAGTCTGAGGCAAAAGTATTACTTTGGTAGTTCTACTTACCAAACTTATATTCCCTATACATAAAACTATATTTTATAGACTCAAGAACACATTCATAAATCAAAAAATAAATATATGAAGGGTAGCCTAATCATGTTGACAATATTAAATACAGTCAACCATTATTAATAAATTCACATTTATGATTATTAGACCATTTTTTTTGTAATCTTTGACCAAGCATTCGTCAGCTTAATTAAATACAATGCGTTTAGCTTAATTAAATAGCATGCAATTAGCTTAATTAAATAGCATGCGGTTAGCTAGAAACATTAGCAACAGTGCTAAACCTACCGTTAGCTTGTTAGCTCGCTCATCCTGAAGGAGGTTCAAAACTAACACTTTTCTAGGCTTTGGTAACATTTTGCTCCTTTTTGTGTTTCTATCCACTTTCGACAGCAACTTTAATGTTTTAGCGCGCCATTTTGGGGATTTTCTAGTTCCTTCCAATAAATGTTCTGTGCAGGGAGGGCGCACCTGCCACGCAGTTGTTATAATAATGGTAGTGTCCGATTTGCGTCACCCGGGTGCGAGCCGGGCGGTGATTAATGGTGTCACTTGTCATGTGTGTTTCTCTTCATCAAGCATAGGATTCTAACAAACCATTCTGATAATTATCCAATCATGCATAGACTGTATATAAAGGTGTCATGACTCATGTAGCATTCAGCATGTGTTTTTAGAAACATGTGATATTCAGATTCCTAATAACAATTCTTAATAGTCCATTTTATAATAGCCTACTGGTATTTTTCAAAAAATAATGTCATGATTTACAATAAGCTTTCTCTACTGGCAGGTAAGTCCTTCTGGTGGTCAAAGCATTAAGCAATATCCATATTTTGAGTCAGACTCTAAGATATTTAGTCTTTCTATTCATGTAATTAATTCCCTGAAAATATTTGTTGGCCGTGGTGCAAAATGCTACTCAGATAAAGTCCAAGTAATTATACCAGTGAAAGAAAAATACTCTGTTAAAATCAAAAGTCCTGAATGCAAAATCATTCATGTTTTAATGTAACAGCTTATAAATGTGTAGCTAGATGGTTATTTCAGTTAGATTGCAATTATTTCCAACTGTATTGGAGTAGAAGTAAAATTTGCATACAATTGACCTTAGTAGGCTACCTCACAATTTAACTGAAGTACAGTAGTTGCATGTAGTTAGTTACAATTTGCAAGTTACGAAAAGATAAGTTAAGATAAGATAAACCTTTATTGATGATCCCTGTAGGGAAATGTGGGTCTTAACAGCAACAGCCGTTATAAGGCACAGGATAGGAAAGGTATGAATTTAAACAAGGAAAATAATATAAAAAAATGTTTACAAATTTTAAGAAGAAATAAATATCATTAACAGTATACATTAACATTGAAAGTGTTA